GCCCCAAAGTCCATATTTTTGCTCCCTACGATGGGGAGCGCATCCGTTGCCCTCCGCCGGGCTACATCAGGGTCTATCGCCATATTATGAAGCTCGGCCTTCGGTTTCCCTTGCACGGCGTCTTGAGCGACATCCTGGGTGGCCTCGACATAAGAATCAGTCAGCTGGTACCGACGGTCTTCGCTTGGTTGATGGGTCTAATCGTCTTTTTCAGGAAGCAAGGTTGGGCTGACCCCACGAACGATGACGTGAAGAGTCTGATGGTTTTTAAGAAATCAGGGCTGACAGGCAATTATTACAGATCGGTCGCCCCGGGAATTGATAAGTCATTAATTTGCAAGGTTCCAGACTCACTGCACGGCTATATGTCGGAGTGGTTTTGGGTCTCTGGCGCATGGCAAGCGCCGAAGGCAGCCTGGTATCCCTTCACCGGTTTCATTTCTGGCCTATGTGAGTCTTTTGTTGTAACACCCCGCTAGCTTATTAGAATCAGAGTCAATTTTTCGCAATTTCTTTTCTGATAATACGTATTAGTTTGCGAAATCGTGATTCGAGATGCTATTGAAAATCTTTCTTTTCTAAAATTCGTTACCTTTTCTGAATTAAAACTGTTAAGAAAAATGGATTATCTTAAACCAAACAAGCATGTAAAACTGTACAAAATCCGACTAGAAAATTGGGTCAACACCTGAAAACAAACATGCGAGTTTGATAACATGAAAGTGTCAGCGGAAGTTCAAAACGTGGCAAAATAAATATATACATGTCCAAAAGTATGTAAAGTAGACATTGATATGGGATATTATATACACAAGGCTAAACCGGTCTACTCAGCTGGTCGAGAAGAGAAGAAGCGGGAGGCCAGGATAAGAAGCGGGAGGATCGATCCTTCAGATAGTCGACCAAGCAGGTGGTCGACCAGACCATCGCATGACCCGATAAGCGATCGAGCAACCTGTTGCTCGACCAGATACATGATCGGGCAACCTATTCGACCTCAACAGGTCGATCACTTCGAGGAACCAATAGTCGGTCTAGTCATGGGCGCGTGTATCATAGACGCGCGTAAGAGCCCCTAACTGAACCTCAGGAGAATATTTACT